TTCCAAGCCTCAAACCACAACAATCAGGTACATTTCTTTTTAAGGGGCAGACTTCCAACATCTGGCATACTTTTCAGGCGTTTTCTTCCTGCTTTTATTAGAAAAGGGATGGGGGAATATATTATTAATGAATCTAATTATCATTGATTGAAGCTGGCAAATGTTATAGTTATTTTGATGAGGACTCCCAAATACACTTGCCACAACAGAACAGTTAAAACTAATAGGGTTTAATAGTGTATGCTGAATAAATTGGGAGAGGTAAAGTACAGGAAGAGCAGTGCAGAGGATTGGTGTATACATTTTCAGTGCTGCCCTGGAGTGGTGGTGTCCTAGCCCACTCTACCCAGTTGCAGCAATGTGCTGCTGGGCGTGAGCATCATCAGGGAGCTTTATCATGCAGGATCCAATCTTTATCCCACTCTGAGAGGGTAAGCCTTCTGCTCAGCAGTAGGAAGATATGATTGTTTCCCTTTTCGAATCCGTCAGAATAGGTATTTATACGTGCAGCGTCCTGCACCTGGGCCGGAGCAATCAGCATTATCAGTGTAGGCCGGGAGGGGACATGCTAGAGAGTAGTCCTTTGGAAAAAGACTTTGGGGTACTAGTAAATGAGAAGCTGGACATGAGCCACCAATGCGCAGCGGCAGCCCAGAAGGCGAATTGAGTCCTGGGCTGCATCAAAAGAAGCGTGGCCAGCAGATGGAGAGAGGTGATCCTGCCGCTCTACTCTGCCCTGGTGAGACCTCACCTGGAGTTCTGTGTCCAGCTCTGGAGCCCTCAGCACAGGAAAGACATGGACCTGTTGGAATGTGTTCAGAGGAGAGCCCCAAAAATGATCAGAGGGCTGGAGCACCTCTCCTGTGAGGACAGGCTGAGGGAGTTGGGGTTGTTCAGCCTGGAGAAGAGGAGGCTCCAGGGGGACCTTATAGTGACCTTCCAGTACCTGAAAGGGGCCTACAAGAAAGCAGGGGAGGGACTATTCACAAGGGTTTGTAGTGACAAGACAAGAGGTAATGGCTTTAAGCTAGAAAAGGGTAGACTTAGGTTAGATGTTAGGGAAAAGTTCTTTAAATGTGGATGATAGTTCACTGGAATAGGTTGCCCAGGCAGGTGGTGGAGGCCCCATTCTTGGAGACATTCAAGATCAGGCTTGATGAGGCTCTGAGCAGCTTGACCTAGTTGGAGATGTCCCTGCTTTTATAGCAGGGGGGTTGGACTAGATGACCTTTGGAAGTCCCTTTCAACCCAATACATTCTCTCATTCTATATTTGATTATAAATAAGGTGACATGATATATAATGAGAGCATGATATGTTATTGTTTGCAAGAGCACATTCATGTAGGTGGTGTTAATTTGAAAAGTTTCACTCTGGAGAGCCAAGTAATATGTTGTGATTGATAGTTATCGAAAAATATGTGGAACATACTTGAAGAAGTGGAGCATTGATTTGCCCTTTTTTTTCTCTTTAAATAGCTTAAGGTTATTGATTTTTTTTTTTTTTAACCAGTAGTGTTTTTTATGCTATGTGAGTACTGCTTAGCTTCCATAAAAGTCTCAGTATAGTCCACAGAAACAAATGGTTGGAATTTGAAGTATTATAAACTGTTTTTAAAAAATGCAGATTTGAATAAGAGCCAGAACAGACTTAATTTTTCTGAAAATTCCCTGCTTGTTGCCTGGTGGAACAACTGCAGCTGGGTGTGTACCAGGCTGGTTACGGTGTGCAGGAAAACAGAAAATTGAGCTGTCCCATCTTTTGTTGGGGCACAGTCTCCATTTGACAAATTTCTCGATAGCTCTTGGTGAAAGAGTGACCTCCCATCTCATCTGTCCTCCTATGATGGACAAGATTGCATGTGCCTCTTCTTTCAGAGCTGTTGGTCCTGGACTTGCAGTTCACGTGTTTAGGAACTTGACCTTACCAGCAAAATGACAGGCCCTGACACTTCGGTGGGTTGGTTATGCAATCTGACCCCCCCTTTTACTTCAGAAAAGACAGTATGTGTTGAATATTTCTGTCTAGGCAACTAATAGCTGCCTAGTTTCGTTTCTTCTCTGAGGAGCATTTAGTCTCAGCATCCTCTACAAAACCTGGGGCAGGATATCCCTGCTCTCTTGCTTCTCTGAATCTTGTAATGTTTCTGTCTCGATATCTTAAGACAACTTGCTGCTGTCATCATTTCTTGCTGTCTTCATTGCTTCCCCTTTTCTCTGCTCTTTCCCACTCCCTTCAGTCTTCAGATTATTGCTGATCTGGTGCTGATCAAGCAGCAGAAAGATGTGTTCAGTAATTTAGGTGCAACCTCTTCTTGTCAGAGATTTCACTTGAAACATTTAGTTTTCCTGGCTACCATCCATTGCATTCACCAAAAGCTCTCTATCTGAATAACTCTTGTCCAACTTTTATGCCCTCATTGTCCT